CGGCCTGCACCCTGAAGCCTAAGTTTGAAGAGTTGGAGACGATATGACTCGAGGGAATGCAGAGGGCTTCCAGTCTCTAGGGTTTGGGGTTTAGGGTTTAGGGTTTAGGGTTTGGGGTTTGGGGATTTAGGGGTTTTGGGGGTTTAGGGGTTTTGGGGTTTCGGGTTTCTGCGTCGTTCAGTTCAGTTCTTGGGTTTTGGTGTCTCAGACTCTGAGGGTTAGGGCGTTGGATAGCTACGCCCTGGACGCCGGAACCTCTAAAGAGGAAAACCCTGAACCCAACATCCGAAATCCCTCGAGGTTCTAACGCCTGGAACCCTGAGTCAAGTCCCGCAGGCTGCGGACTGCATGGCTTTGTTCCCTGTCCTTGCGCATCCTTTCCCTATCTTTGCACAACTTTACACACTACCAAAGCCTGCTCCTCAACGCCGCTTTCCACTAAGAGACACTCAAGAAACCGACCTCAGGACCTCTGAACCCGAAACTCCGGTACTGCGAGGCCTCCTTCTCTGCCTCTGTGGGGCGCTGGAGTGGATGCAGCGCCACGAGGTCGTGCATCCAGCTGCAGAGGACCTGCAGGTTCGTCTCCCTTCCTACAAGTAGGGGTCGTTCATGTAGCTACCACCAGTCAACCTGAAAACCTTAAGGAGCCCCCTACCGGGGTGTGGGACCTTAGGACGCCTCCCTGTGATCTGGATGGGCTGGATCCAGGCTGGGGACTTCGCGGTCACAGTGTAGGAAGTAGGCACAAGTATCGGATGGAGATTGTAAGTTTCGTTTCGGGTATCAAGTGTCCAGGAGCAGCAACTCAGGCCTTGTAGGTATATGCCAGTACAGAGTCGAGAGTGAAAGACAAAACTAGAGAGAGAGAGAGAGAGAGCGACGAGTCAACAGAGAGCGCCGAAGACCAATAATTGCACACATGCTTGACTTGCGCGACACGTGCAGTCAGCGAATGAAAGCTGCTTCGAGCGTCCAACTCGAATTTTAGGCTCCGAAGGTTGCAAACAGGTGTGACCAAGTGAGTGACCCCCCTGGACAACCCTTACTGCGACATGAGGCGCAAAGACCACTGCAAGTTCGTACCACTGGGGTCCTCAGCCCCAGGCAAATTTCCTGCCTGAAGAAGACGGAACCGAATCTAGGGAGCCACAATGTCGGCATTCAGCCCGAAGCCCCTGCGTCCGAAACTTCGACCACAAAGACACAAACTGTCATGAATGAAATCGCCTTAACCGCCATACTAATAGTTCTGATTCCAGCACTCTCTAGTCTCCCGAAGCAAGGCGTGTGCCTGCTGGCCCTCAAACATGGAGAGGTCCTCAACTGGCATCTTTGCCTCCACGCTCTTAGTCTGATGCTGGAGAGTTGTTTGGACTTGAGCCCGCGGCGCCCCCATTTGCAAACTTTTGGATGCGAGAGGCCAGTGCTGTAAGGTGCTGAGTTTGGGCTTCAGCATCACGGATGCCGAGGCTTTTCACGTGAAGTGAGAAGCCTGGTTCGGTGCCCATCAGGAAGGTTCCGAAATCAGGCACGAGACATGCAACTGTGACGGCTCACGCAGTTTAGGGGCTCCAATGTGATCTCCCATGTACGACCATGCTGAGACCGAGATCCTCCACTTTCAGAGCACCCGAGCCCAAGACTCATGGGCTCTAGGCTCTAGCAGAGAGAGTCTCGGCAAGCCTGCTTCGCCAAGATGGAGTCAAGCAAAGCTTGTCGGAGAGCCTTTGCCAGGAACGTGGCTTTCCGGCTTGACACGAAAGCTCGCAATAGGTACACGCATGGATATACATCAACAAGTACATGCATGTTGGTCCACACACAAACCCAGGCGATGTTGGCTTCGAGTGCAGACGGGTATGCATTGTAAGGACAACGAAGTTGAATGTCTACGTGCAAACGATCAGAGCAGACCGCGAATGGCGAAGGCTTAGGGGGGTGGGGTTTGGAGGCTCAGGGTTTTCAGGTCGTTGACGCACGCCGTTTTCTTGAGAAAGTCCCAGTTGGCTTATCAGAATTGCGCTCCTCATGTGCTAGAAATCCCTAAACCCTTACGGGTGCCGACACTGGCTGAGATCACAAACTACCGAAGACTTGCAGGGCAGAAGGAACGCCTGTTGCGAAGCAACCGCGGAAGAGAACTTCACACATTTCTGTAATACGTGCAGTGGTACCCAGCACGTGTATCCTCTTCGAAACCCCTCACAAGTGTCTTATTGCAGAAGCGAGGCGACCATTCCCGAATTTTCTTCGAAGCCAGCGGGTCTGGTGGAAGCTTGGCAAGGCACTTCTTCTGTCGCCTTGAAACTCATAGCAGCGGAACTGAGGTGGCGCATAACATGCCGCACCATCACTGCAGCGGTCTTTGTCCCTGCGCTCAACCCGACCTATATTCCCGTCGCCTGATGTCAGAGCTCGCGGAGGCCAGCAAGGCCACGAAGACCGCAGCTTGCAGGACCCGCGCCCGAAATTCAAAGCGGGCGGTAATGTCACAGCAGGAGCTTTGAGCTGATTTTGCGACTTCTCGCTTGTTCCACAGTCCTCACACCTTACCTCGCACACGAACCCCGATTACCTGAAACTCCACCTTTTCCTCGGAAGTGAAACGCTCTGTGACCTAGACCTTGAGTGGCCCGCAAGATGTCAACATGCAGCTCACTCAGTGAAACCAAGAGTGCGATTGGCAGACTCCAAGCAACGGGGACATTCGGCAGAGGTTTGGACTGTTGCCGGTCGAGGCGTTACAACCATTCCCGTTAGACATGTCTCCCAGCAAGTCTTAAGATAACCAAGGAAGCTTTCCACAAGCATTGCTGGAGCTAGCCCACAGGGCAGCGACCGGTGATGCGTGTCATATCCAGGGCGGTGCCCAGCAGGTGCATAGGCCTGCAGGATGCCTGCCTGCACTGAAACAGCTGCTTTCCATGCCACTCTGGGCCGTTACCAAGGGGTTTACGGCTGCTTCACGGCCTCATGGGGGCCTGTGGTCTAGCTCTGATGGGCTTCGGCTGCGAACGCAAAGCGGATGTCAGGAAAGAGCTTTGACTCATAGACTCATAAACGCTCAGAAAGCAAAGAACTCGCAACAGCCGGCGAATTCAGGGATTTCGCTCCCAAGCCGAGATCTAAGCTGCATCAGCAGGCCCCCATCCTATTTCCCATCTTCCTACGAGTGCCCAATTAGAAAAGTGCAGGTTTGGGGAACCTCTAAACAGCCTATGCAGCTACACCCAACTCTCCAGGGTTGAGCCGCAAGAGGTCGTAGACTCATACAGTCTGTGAGCTGAAATAACTTCTTGCTAGCCGCTTTAGGGTTTAGGGTTTAGGATTTACCTGTAGTCTCCATTGTAGTTCCTTTTTGTGGTTTAACCAATTCTATATTTAGGATCCTAAAAGGTAGCCCCAAAAAAGAACTACAATGGAGACGATAGGTGGGGTTTAGCGTCTACCCGACCTTCTACTTGTAGTACCCGGCTTGAAAAGCAGCGGCAAAATGTATGGACATGTGGCGAACTTCACTGGAGGCAGGGATGTTCTAAGCAAGAGTTGCACTTGGTGTCCCGAAACCCCCAACCCTGAATCCTACACCCTATACTGCGCCGGGCCAATAGTTCGACCCACTAGCTTTAATAAGGAAGTTAACCCCTGCCCCCACCCTCTTGCCCCTAGCCTCCTAACGCAAGTGAGCTCTGGGGCCTCCTCCGGAACTAGAAAGTAATACAATTTCAAAACGGGGTTGAAATTACTCCGCTAGCCGTCGTAGGGTAACCGACACTTTCCGCAAGACCTTGTACGTCAGACAGTACACTTGCAGCTCGAAACTTTCGACCCGGGGATGCAAACCCTAAAACCCTAAACCCTAAAACCCTAAACCCCTAAAACCCTAAACCCTGAAACCCTAAAACCCTACACCCAAACCCTAACAAAAACCCTTGTTAGAACAACCCTCCTTTTGCCGCGCCCAGGCTCAGGTCTCTGCTTGATGATGCCATCCCAGGGCCTCGCGGTCTTGTGTAGGTGCGGAAGATTGCGGAATGGAAGCTGCTCCCCAAAACTTTCGGGGCTGTAGGGTTTTAGGGTTTGGGGTTTAGGGTCGTATAGGGTTTAGGGTTTAGGGCTTTAGGGTTTTAGGGTTTTAGGGTTTAGGGCTTTAGGGTTTTAGGGTTTAGGGTTTAGGGTTTGAGGTTTTAGGGTTCTTGGAGCAAAGCACCCCAACACCCTGCCTGGAACCTGGAGGCTTTCTCTGACCGAAACTTTGGAAGGTCTGCCGGCCCGAGTGCTTTGGGATGTTCGTAAGGGGCACGGTCTTGTGCTGGGAAACGATCGAATGCAAGAGGGCTACGACAGTGGGTTCCCCTGCAAACAGTTGAAGGAAGCAATATCATCAACACGGGTAATTAGGGGGAAGAAGAGTAACGACAATCGTCATCATAGGCATGTGATCATCCCGACGATGATAGCAGGAGCATGAACGTCAACCACACCCGGTGTAAGAAATTACCGGTCTAAGAAATTACGTACTTGTACTGCATTTTAGTTTGGGCAGATGTAGCAGCGATTTGTCGCCGCACACGTAGTCGATGACCGAGGCAAAGGCAATGACAACAACAGTGGTCAGAAAACATTCAGTTTTAGCAGGAACCACCATTACTGTGCTGACGTAGACCAGACACTAACAGAAAGCCAGCACTGCCCATGGGAACAGTCCGAACCATCACTATCGCTACGATCTTCTTCTTTACTACCGTGGTGAACATCGCCGTCATGATCGTTACCGCCATCACCAGCCGAAAACCTTTTCTTACCGACGCCTGCCAAGACATACTGGAGCAGAGTTTTGCAATTCTTTACTTGCTGCTCTAAGAAGACTGGAAAACGTTGTGCAGCCTGGCTCTGTGTAGCAATAGTCCCAGCGTCACGGGTCACGGATGCGACACTTTCCTTGGGCTCTTGGGGCTCGAATCGTGGGCCTTATTGGAGCTTAAAGCGACGCAGAAGACTGCGAGGACTACTAAGACAGCACTTCATGCACATTGTTGCCGCCGATGCTTTTGGAAGCCGCCTTTTGGGTTTGGGCGCTGGGGTGGCATCTACAGTGGATTGAATCATTTACGATCTTTCTTCAGCCTGCTTACATGGGAATCTTTGACGAAGAAGCATTGTCTCTGACAAGACACGAATTCGAGTCTGAAATCCCTACAGACAGTACACTCTTCTAGGACAGTGAGCCCGCGACATAGTCTCCATTGGTCTAGGTCGGTTCACCACTCTCATCGTCTTGACTACGCTAGGGTAGTACACTGCTAAAGCAAGCCAAAAAAACACAACGCCCTTGAAATCCACAACCGCTCCATGCAGCGACCCCAAGTTGGGTTCGAGGCGCTTCTGCTTGTGGATAAGGAGAACCTGCCCGGAGGCCCGGAGGCGCAGAAACTTAAACTTCAATTCGGCGACTGTATGGTGCTGAACTTGTCTGGCTCCCCCAATTCCTCGAAGATTTGTGCTTTGGCGGCACTGAGAAAGGTAGCAGCGACAGCAGCAAGTAGAACAAGCAGAAGTTGCAGTGCTCCTGCTAGTAGCTAGCTGCTAGGACTACTGCACTAGGAGTACTGGTAGCAGTGGTGTCAGCAACAGTTGCAGGTAGAGCAGCAGGAGTAGCAGTGGCACTAGTAGTAGTAGTAGTAGTAGTAGTAGTAGTAGTAGCAGCAGCAGCAGCAGCAGCAGCGGCAGTAGCAGCAGCAGCGGCGGCGGCAGTGTGGCAATAGCAGTGGCAGTAGCAGCAGCCGTAGCTTCGAGGTGGCAGATCAGGAGCAGGAGTTGGGGTAGCGAACGCTCCATCGGTCATGATGGCAGTGTCGGTAGTGGCCATTGCAGTGACAGTAGCACTCTTCATCTCGTGGTAGTCTGATGGTCTTCGCAGCGGTAGAAGTAGCGTTGTTGGTTGTGCTTGTTAATCAGTGCAGAACGTTATTCGTATCAAGCACCAGTGTTGCTGATAGAAAAGTTTAGGGTTTAGGGTTTAGGGTTTAGCTTCAGAAGCCGCCTGGAAAAGGACCTCGGCCAACATCGCGTTTGACCTCATCATGCTGCGAGCCTTGTCCTGACAGTTTTCAAAGACAGGTCTTAATCTTTACGCTAAGTCACTGGGTTAACTCCTTCATTTCTACATTCATTCGTCCGGCATGCATCGGCAATGTTTTTTCAAATAATTTACTACCCCCTACAACAGCAACAACAACAACTACTTCTACGCTTACTATTAGGATTACTACTACGACTACTACTACGACTACTCCTACGACTACTATTACGACTACTACTACTACGACTACTACTACGACTACTACTACGACTACGGCTACGGCTACGACAACGACAACGACTACGACGACGACGACGACGACGACGACTACTACTACTACTACTACTGGTACTACTGGTACTACTACTACTACTACTACTACTACTACTACTACCTCGTACTACACCATTTTAATTCAAGATCATATTTTTCATACTGCTAGGACTGTTCGACCACTACATCCTGACACTCGTAGTGCCACTACCACTAGCACTCGCTACCACTATCACTACAACTATTGCTGCTACTACTATGCACTGGTACGAGTCGGTAACAGTGCCAGAGGCACTACAAGTACTGCTCGTACTACTAGTACTGACGACGGCGACTACTACTAGTAACCTTCACAGCTACTACCACCACC